GGAGCTATCACGTGATCGAGGGGGGTGTTCACACCTCGCCTGAAGTAGTTTGTCTGGGCTAGACTCTCTTGGTGGTTGGAAGTATTCCTGACAAGACGTGCCTAACTCTCCCTTATTGGCCCTTGTTGGAGGATCGTCTCTGTCGCTTTCTTGTTGTTGGTTCTGTAGAACTTTGTTCACAGAACATTGTCTAGACTTAGTGATTTTCGACGTTGTACTGAAGTTGTGTCGCATAGACACTCTGAGCATCTCAGGTCCTGAGCTGTAGCTTCTGACCTAACTTGTACTGGTATCTGTGTACTGTCACAGTCGGGGATTTTCTTATACTGAACTTAGATTCAGTAGTATGGGAGTTTTGTGACTTTTGTGGAGGATCTGCAAATGGTCCCTACTTAGTGTCGTTATATTATCTCCTTGATCCTGATTCTGTGTCACAGTTGCTTGTTATATTGCTATTGGGCTTAGCAGTTGTTTTATTGTTCAAACAAATTGTTCTGATTGCCAGGTGGTCAAGAAGTTAGTTGATGTGAGGACTTTGTCAGTCACTGGTTTAAGTCTAGTAGAGTCTTGAGGCATAGCGAACTACTTAGAGCACTTACACACACTTACTTGTATATATATATGTATTAGGTTATTAAATGTTAACAATGTACCAGACGATACTTATAAGCCATAAAGATGTGATATGTGCCTTCAGCACAATACTACTGTACACAAGAGAAGTGATTATTCTTATTTGGTTTATATTGCTTTAATTTACTTTGATCTTATACCTCTAGACTATGTTATTAATAAACTTACTAAATTTTAATTTCTTTAGTTAATAGCCTACCAGTTGTAATCCTGAAGCACTACTGAATCTTACTGAATTCTAATGGATAATTGGACCAGGATACTGACTACTTGTTACGAAAACCCAGTAACAGGCTGGATACTAGAAGGGCAGTCCTTTCTAGTATTCACTGGAGATCTCTATGCTCATTAGAAATCGCATTTTTTGTAACAGTCCCATTTGATAGAATGGAAGATTTATTACAGAACTAAAGATGATTTTGAATGGTTTATGAACTAAAAGTACCTCGAAATTGAGCTCAAAATACCAGAAATGTTCGATTTTTGGCGATGTTCAAGAGTAAACAAATCACATCACACGTCCAATACACGTATGTCAACTGGTGGGTCCAATATGCTTTCACAAAGGCGCTGACATAATTTATACTATTTTTACAATAATGCAGTAGTCTGAATAACAGTAAATCCTCTATGTTTTGTGTGACTAAAAATATAAAATGGAAAGCAAGCATAATATAAGAGGCCTGGAGACATGACTAATGAAGAGAGAAAATGTTATTTTAGTGCCAGGAATGTTTACACTGTTAATTCTGGACCCTATTTTGAAACTGGCCTTCCTTGATTTGTGTCTGAAATTAGACAAATTACCAATTTCTGATCACTTTATTGGGTAGTTGAAATCGGTAAATGGGCAGTTTCTTGTACTCAGTTGATAGAAGAAAAAGGAGTTCTAGCAAAATAGCTATGAGTTTGGTCAACTGGAACAATGGAATTGGCCGAAAATAGGGCCCAAAGTGGGCAAAAATCGCCGATGTACAAATATCGCCGAGACTGCTTTGTCAGAGCGTAATTCCGTAAGTTTTCTATCAAATTTTGTACTTTTGGTGTCATTTAACAGTGGGAAAATATTCTCTATCATTTCATAAGAAACTTTTTTTTTAACTTCTTCGACACTGGGGTCGTCCCACAGTTACTAAAAACAACAGACATAGTCCCACTCCACAAAGGGGGCAGTAAAGCAATAGCAAAGAACTACAGACCAATAGCACTAACATCCCATATCATAAAAATCTTTGAAAGGGTCCTAAGAAGCAAGATTGCCACCCATCTAGATACCCATCAATTATACAATCCAGAGCAGCATGGGTTTAGAGTAGGTCGCTCCTGTCTGTCCCAACTACTGGATCACTACAACAAGGTCCTGGATGCACTAGAAGACAAAAAGAATGCAGATGTAATATACGCAGACTTTGCAAAAGCCTTCGACAAGTGTGACCATGGCGTAATAGCGCACAAAATGCATGCTAAACGAATAAGAGGAAAAGTTGGTAGATGGATCTATAATTTCCTGATAAATAGAAGGAGGGGTGTTAATGTTGCAGTTTAAAAACTGTAGTGTAAAGCACCCTTCTGGCAAGACAGTGATGGAGTGAATGATGGTGAAAGTTTTTCTTTTTCGGGTCACCCTGCCTTGGTGGGAATCGGCCAGTGTGATAAAAAAAAAAAAAAATAGAACACAGAGTAGTAGTAAACAGAGTAAAGTCTGAGGCGGCTACAGTGAAAAGCTCTGTTCCGCAAGGCACAGTACCTGCTCCCATCTTGTTCTTTATCCTCATATCAGACAGACAGGGATATAAGCCACAGAGCTGTGTCTTCCTTTGCTAGAAAAATGACAGGATGGATAATGAAAACCTTCAAAACTAGGGATGCCAAGCCCATGATGACACTCTTCAGGTCGCTTGTTCTATCTAGGCTGGAATATTGCTGCACACTAACAGCACCTTTCAAGGCAGGCAAAATTGCTGACCTAGAAAATGTACAGAAAACCTTCACGGCGTGCATAACGGAGATAAAACACCTCAGTTACTGGGAGGGCTTTAAGTTCCTGAACCTGTACTCCCTGGAACACAGGCAGGAGAGATACACAACTATATACACCTGGAAAATCCTAGAGGGACTAGTACCAAACTTGCACACGAAAATCACTCACAATGAAAGCGAAAGACTCAGCAGATGATGCAACATCCCCCCAATGAAATGCAGGTGTGCCACTAGCACGTTAAGAGACAACACAATAAGTGTCAGGGGTCTAAGACTGTTCAACTGCCTCCTAGCATACATAAGGGGGATTACCAATAGACCCCTGGCTGTCTTCAAGCAGGCACTGGACAAGCGCCTAAAGTCAGTACCTGACCAGCCGGACTGTGGTTCGTATATTGGATTGAGTGCAGCCAGCAGTAACAGCCTGGTTGATCAGGCCCTGATCCACCATGAGGCCTGGTCACAGACTGGGCCGTGGGGGCGTTGACCCCCAGAACCCTCTCCAGGTAAACTCCAGGTAATACTGAGAGCAAGTTTGTAAGCAGGGGTCTCGACAGTGAAAGGGTTAAATTTCATACAATTGGTGTCATTACTTGCAGAACAAGATTTTCTGCCATTTCAGAAAAAAAAAATGGACACTAAGAGCAATATTAATTTTTGAGGTCTGGACAGTGAATGGGATGACAATCCCAACCTTCTAAAAACGATATGCCAGTTATGAAAATTGGAAGCTGATCAGACAAAGCCTAATCAAGTCATCACATGGAAACCAAATCTAAGAATGATCAGTATATAAAACTGACCAGAGCATACCTGTACATGCCAACAGTTGCATGAACCTTTCACTAATTTGAAGCCAATTGGATAAGACATTCGAGTTATAACTAAAAATCTTCGAGGAATGGGAAAAAACGATTTTCATTTGTAACTATCATCATCCAATCAGCTTAAAATTTTCAATGCTGGTGTACTATAACTAGGAAAGTTTTCATATAATTATTGGTATGTGCAGGTGCCCTCTGGTCAATATTATATACATTAGACCATTCCTTCCCTACACAATTTTTTTTTTTTAACAAACTGGCCATATACGACCATAACCCCTGCCTGTCTTCAAAAGGGCACTTGATAACTTCCTCAAGTCAGCTTCTGATCATTTAGGATGCAGAACATTCATTTAACTATATGTAGCTGGAACCAAGAGCCTAACTGATCAGGCCAGCAAGCAGGAGGCTTGGTCCGGGACTGGGTGGCAACCTTCGAAGTCAACTTCAGGTAGACCCTTAATTTCATCACGATTAATCTCTTAAAAGCAGACTTATTACCCCTTTACTATACATAAAAACAAAGATAAAGCTAGAACACTACCATAATCCAAAAATGTATGACTAAAGAAATAATACAACTTATGGGCATGAGGAGAATTGTGCTCATGATTAGGGAAAACCAAAAGAGTGCACTTGGCAAAACAACGTATGTATTGAAAGAAAAGGGAAGCAATGCTGAGACATGGTAGCAGAATAAACAGTAACCCTAAATGTCCCCCATTTTATATTTTATCTATCAAACTGGCCACATCCCACCAAGGCAGGGTGACCTAAAAAGAAAAACAAGTTTCTCTTTAAATTTAATAATGTATACAGAAGGAATTATTAGCCCCTCACTCCCGGCTTTTTAGCCGCCTCTTATGACATGCATGGCTTACAAAGAATTCTGTTCTACTTTCCCATGGAGATAAGAGGAAATAAACAAGAACTAGTAAGAAAATAGAAGAAACCCAGAGGGGTGTGTATACATATGCTTGTACATGCATGGGTAGTGTGATCTCAGTGTGAGGAGTAGCAAAACCTACCTGAAATCTTGCATATTTATGAGACAGAAAAAAAGACACCGCCAGTCCTACCATCATGTAAAACTGACAGGTTTCCATATTACACTTACTTGGCAGGACAGTAGTACCTCCCTGGGTGGTTACTGTCTACCAACCTACTACATAGGCTCATTTTTAGATTACTTTCTTTAAAAACGAATTTCAAAGAACCTGTAAAATATTTGTACACTAGTTCACCCTTCAAGGAAGGATCTTTGATGACAGTGAGGTTCTCTTGATCCTTCCCTTTCCTTAGATAAAAACCTAAATGCCTCCCATCCTTTCAAATGCTGCATGACTCCTTTGGATTTAGCACTCCATGAGTTCCCTTCACATTTTCCTTCTATGCAAATTTTTCCACATGCCATATCAAATTTGAAAAAATAAGAGTACAACAATGAATTTGTAGGGAACACTGTATTGAAGGAATAATCAATAATTCAAATTGCTTAATGAGTAGCTATTACACAAAGTTACACTCACAATGGCAGGCTAATTATAAAACTTAGAAACTTACAGAGCACTTGAAGCACTGGCTGTGATAGTTGTTATTGAGGGCTTCTACCCAGCGGTCACCAGCCTCGATAGGGAAACCACAACCCACACACTTGGTCGTAAATAGGTCATTCCAGTCTGTGGAAGGTTGATGTGATTAAACTTAGCTAAATAAAAGCTATATTTACATTTTCTGAGTAAACTGTCAGGTATATATTTCCACAAACTAAAAAAAAATTCAAAATGAAACTGGAATTGTTGGTACTTCAATCCATACTGGATTATTACTGAGTGGGGGAGAGGGTAAGAGAAAAATGAAACAAAATCAAGGCAGTGAGAGGTAAGAGACTGCCAAGACCACATGCTCTGGCAATTAATATTATTCACACATCAGGTAAGACTTCGTCTTTTACCTCCCCCCTCTTAAAGACACTGTCATTCTGGAGTATGTACAGTATTCATTTCTTTAAGCACACAATAGCAAGTTATAAGACTAAGAATCAATCTAGTTGTGAATATAAAAAGGAGTGTCCTTGCTAGCTATGTTAAAAACTATAATTTTGGAGACTGTGGCTAGCTAAGTAGCCTGCAGCAACTAAGTGCCTTTCCTCCAGTAACACTACTGAATATTGCTGGGAATATACTTTACACAAGGAATTGATACGACCAAGGGAAATAACTGAGCAATACATACTATCTGACCCAAGGAACTCCCAAACATTGCCAGTAGTTATTTATCCGAATTATTATTATACTGGAAGTGGAAGCTTTTGCTTCTTTCCATAGAAACTTGCTTGGCTGGGCTATGGGCATTACACTCTCATGATGGCTAAGAACAGAAGGTAATCCTAGTCCTCTGGGTTTTGTTTACGCTCATGCAAAGTGTTCATCTTATTTTACATGACTGGTATATAGTACTGACATGATAAAGAATTAGACATGCACAACATCTGGGTATCTTTATTTGTAGACATTTAACCATCTAGTGGTGTTATCAGTACAAATTCAATAAGAAAGTCCTTTTAGTATGAAAGTAATGTCCACAAAACTGGCATATTTGCCAAATCTAGAGAATGAATTATGGAATGAAAATTCAAAGTTAAGAAATAGAATCACATGCAGAAGGCTAAGAGGAAGAGAGAAACCAGAACATTTCTATTAGCATACTGGACACAGGAAAAGTAACTGCTCTATAGTATATGATTCGATCTGCTTGTGTTAAAACTGAAAAATTAAAGACAGCAGCATAAATGATCAAGGAAAGATAATGAGATGTCTGCCTTTATCTGGGTTTTCTTTTTCTGTTCACTGCAAGTTTATGCTCAATGGCATTAGCATTTGTAACTTTTCCTACTATGTCAAGAAAATAAATTATTTATTCCTGTATCCTCTGCAGCACTGACTTAAATTTTCTGAACTGTGTTATCTATATTCCACCCTATATTCTTCCCTGCTGCAAAGACTCCTCTTTCCCTAAACCCACTTTTCAGTTGATGAAACTTGTATTCTTTCCCTCTGTTCCTGCGCTGTATAGCCCTTGTGGCTTAGCGCTTCTTTTTGATTATAATAATAATCCTAATTTATATAATCTTAACCCTTTCAGTGTCAGTCCCATAGTATTACGGCTCAAGAGCCAGTGTCAGTCCCGTAATACTACGCCAAAATTCTAGCGCCTTCAAATCTAGCGGCAGAAAGCTGGTAGGCCTACATGTGAGAATGGGTCTGCAGGGTCAGTGTGTGCAGTATAAAAAAAATCATGGAGCCAGTGGTTCATTGTGGGAATGCCATTTCAGTATGCCTCGTTTCCCATGCCTCACTGTAAGAAATACCTTACTTCCTGGCAAATTGGGACTCTTCTTTTCCCAAGTGACAGTTCTAACACAGATGCAAGTGTCAGTGAAGATGAATTTCATAGTTTTGAGGAGTTTGTGATCGAAAGCAATGCCCAGGAAACCAGAAGAAAGAAAGAGAGAGAGAAAAAGAAAGAGAAAGGAAGGGAGAGATGAGAGGAAGGAAGGATGACCCAGATGACCATCAACCTAGGATAACCCCAAAAAGTCAAAGTGACTTATTTCCATGTGGGTTGGTGAAGAAGACGGTATGGGTAATGTTACAGTTGGGATGATATATACATGTGGTAGTAGGTGGTAGTTGTGGTACTGTAACGCGTCATGTACCCAGGCAGGCAGCCATGCCGCTGACTCAGCACATCCACAAGAAAGGCCAGCTTCAACCACCCACACACCACAACAACCTACACAGCCACAACCTGCACAACCACAACCACCTGCACAACCACAACCAACAAAAATGCAGACACTCATTTTTTCTGTGGGGAGTGTAAAACAGCACTGTGTATAACACTATGCTTTGAAGAGTTTCACAATCTGCAGCACTTCTAGGAACGTGTCCAGTGACTATGTGTATACGTATATATATAATAAAACAATACAGTGGAACCTCAAATTTCGAACTTAATCCGTTCCAGGAGCTAGTTCTAAAGTCGAAAAGTTTGAAAGGTGAAGTAATATTTCCCATAAGAAATAATGGAAATAGTACAGTGGACCCCCCAACTTACGATGTCTTCAACCTACGTTAAAACCGACTTACGATGCTTGTCAGTGTAAAAATTTGACCCCGACACACGTTGAAATACTCGACTTAGATCTTTCGTCCTGTATGCGTCCACATGTCTGTCTGGCCTGAGCGCCTCAGCTGAGCTAGTGTGACATTGTTTACAAGCCGGGGCGGACACGGTTGCAGGCATGCATTCAATAAAGTTTGTATTATTCCAAGTTTTTTGTGCTTGTAACTGCTAAATTTGCCACCATGATCCCAAAGAAAGCTTCTAGTGCTAACCCTGTGGTTAAAAGGGTGAGAGATGCTATCAAAATACTATCGTACCACGGTCAGCTGCTGCTGCACCACGGTCAGCTGCTGCTGCACCATGGTCAGTTGCTGCTGCTGCTGTAGCACCATCAGCTGCTGCTGCAGTAGCACCGTTAGCTGCTGCTGCACTACTCGAAGATGTTAAGAGACTTATTGGTGTGGCTTCTTGAGAATACCGAGAAAATTAACCCCATAGGGTTAGCCACCCAGGATAACCCAAGAAAGTCAGTGCGTCATCAAGGACTAACTTATTTCCATTGGGGTCCTTAATCTTGTCCCCCAGGATGTGACCCACACCAGTCTACTAACACCCAGGTGAACAGGAAAAAAAAATGCCTGGAACTAGTGCTCATATTGGTGAATTTAACCCTTTGACTGTCGCAACCACCAATCCTGAGGTGTCTCCTGGTGTCGCAAAAAAAAAAAAAAAAAAAAAATTCTTATGAAATGATGGAGAATCTTTTCCCGATTGTAAAGACACCAAAAAAACGAAATTTCATGGAAAACTGACGGAATTACACTCTCGCGAAGTTAGCGACCTCGGCAATACTTACAAATTGGCGATTTCGCCCACTTTGAGCCCTATTTTCGGCTAATTCCATTATTCCAGTCAACCAAACTCATAGCTATTTCTTCAGAACTCCATTTTTTCCATCGATTGAGTACAAGAAACTGCCCATTTACCGATTTCAACTACCCAATAACATGGTCAGAAATTTGCAATTTGGCAAATTTCACGATAATTAAAAAATAGACATTTCAAAAAAAGGGGACCAGAAGAACAATGCAGATTTTCTGGCTCAAAATACATTTTCTTTGTTCACATCATGTCTCCGGGCCCCCCTCTGCTTTTTATTTTGAAATTTTATTAAAAAAAAAATAAAGATTTACTGTTATGCAGCTACGCTACTTAAAATTGAAAAAAAATTACATCAACCCATTCTGACTGCTTTTTATAAGGCTATTTGGACATTTATTGGAAAATGACTTTTGTTTACTTTTGAACATCGAAAAAATCAAACTTCCCCTATTTTGTCTCCTTTCCGGGGTTTCTTTTTAAGTAAAAATTAAATAAAAATCATTTATTCTATAAATAGTTTCATTCTATCAAATGAACCAAAAACGAGAATAAAACCACAAATACTTTACGAAAATAGCCACAAAGGGGCTTTTTAAATTTAAAAAAAAAAAAAAAAAAGGGTCGGAGTTTTTTTTTCTCTTAGCACTGCGTGCTCCAGGTTTTTTTTATATGGTGCACACTCCCACACAGACCCTTTTCCCCACATGTGGGCCTACCAATTTCTCCTCCTGATTTGAAGCCGCTAGAATTAGAGTATATATATCAAACAGGTACCGCGTAAACGTTATATAGGGCCCAGACAGTAAAAGGGGTTAAGGCCACAAGGTTGGTTCGAGAGATTTAAGAATCTGGGCATACACAGTTGAAAAAGGCATGTTCTGGAAGAAAATCCAAAACAAGCCTACATTATGAGAAAAAGGCACCCCAGGACACATCCCTCTCACACTTTTAAAAAAGGTAAGTGTCATTTATTTTTCTTTTATACATATACATGCACAATATATATTGGTTTGTACCTTTTTTTTGTGTGTAGGAAAATGTATATTTCATGTGGTAAAAATTTTTTTTCGTACTTTTGGTTGTCTTGAACGGATTAATTTGATTTCCATTATTTCTTATGGGGAAAATTAATTCGACTTAGGATAATTTCGTCTTACGATGTGCTCTCGGAACGAATTAATATCGTAAGCGGGGGCCACGTACAAAAACCCTTCCAAAACCCAAAAATATTCAAAAAAAAAAAAACAAATACCTTTTATAGATAGTATTACATTATAGTTTTACGTACACACAACTGATATAGTGTACATTAATAAATTTAAAAAAACATATAAAATAAAATTTTACTTACTTTTTTGGGAGAGGGTTAGGGCATCGGGAAGATAGGGTTGGGGTTAGTGTTTGGAAGGGGAACCCCCTCCATAAGGATTTAGGTTTTAAAAGCCCCTCTGGGGTTGTTTTCCCCTTCTCTCTCTCTATACTTCGTATTATTTCCTTCTTCACACTAGGGTGTTTCTCACTTTCTTTACCACGGGGGTACCACAACAAGTTTTTTTTTGGGCCCATGGTAGCTTATTTCACAGTCCCACAACACTAAAAAAATAAAATTAAATGTAAAATGTTTGAATGAGACCGCGGGGTGTTCACCCCAAAAACAAAAAAGCCGACG